TTTTTAATCTCCATGTAATTACTTTTTCCCTCATTTCTTCTGTGAAATTTCTGATTTCATGCTGTTATGGCCAGAAAGGATGCTTGAGTTAATTTCTATACTCTTAAATTTGTTGAGGCTTCTTTTATGCCCTGGTATGTGGTCAGTCCTGGAAAATGTTCCATATGCACTTGAAAAGAATCTATATTCTGGTTTTTTGGATGTACTGTCCTGAAAATATCAATTAAGTCTAACTGTTCTATTATTGAGTATCTCTGTTGCCATATTGATTCTCTGAATGAAAGATCTGTCCACTGAAGTAAGTAGAGTGTTGAAAAATCTCCTACTATTATTGTATTCCTATTCATTTTCCCCTTTATATCTTAGTATATGTGCTGCCAAAGTGAGCACTATTTTTCCCTTTATATCTATTAGTATTTGTTTTACGTATTGGGTGCTTCCTTATTAGATGCATATGTGTTTAATTTTTTTTAACACCAAAAACATTCTGTATTGGGGTATAGCTGATAAACAATGTTGTTGTAGTTTCAGGTGAACAGCAGAGAGACTCAGTCATACATATACATGTATCTATTCCCCCTCAAACCCCCAAAACTCATCCAAGCTGGCACATAACATTGAGCAGAGCTCCATGTGCTATATAATAGGTCTTTGTTGGTTATCCATTTTAAATACAGCAGTGTGTACGTGACTTTGCCGAAGTCCCTAACTGTCCCTTCCCCCTGGCAACCATAAGTTCATTTTCTGAGTCTATGAGTCTCTTTCTGTTTTGTAAATAAGTTTGTTTGCATGATTTCTTTTAGATTCCTTACATAAGGGATGTCCTATGATAAATCTCCTTCTCTGACTTACTTCACTCAGTATGGCATTCTCTAGGTCCATCCATGTTGCTTCAGATGACCTTATTTCATTCTTTTTAATGGCTGAGAAATGGTCTGCTGTATATGTGTAGCACATCTTCTTTATCCATTCTTGTGTCAGCAGACAATAAGGTTGCTTCCATGTCTTGGATATTGTAAACAGAGCTGCAATGAACATTGGGGTGCATGTATCTTTCTGGGCCATGTTTTTCTCTGGATATATGCCCAGGAGTGGGATTGCAGAGTCATATGGTAGCTCTTTTTTTAGTTTTTTAAGGAAAACCCATACTGTTCTCCATAGTGGCTGTACCAATTTACATTCCTGCCAACAGTGCAGGAGGGTTTCTTTCTCTCCACACCCTCTCCAGCATTTGTTGTTTGTGGATTTTTTGATGATAGCCATTCTGACTGGTGTGAGGTGATAACTCATGGTAGTTTTAATTTGCATTTCTTTAATAACTAGTGATGTTGAACATCTTTTCATGTGCCTCTTGGCTATCTGTATGTCCTCTTTGCAGAAATGTCTATTCAGGTCTGCCCATTTTATGAGTGGGTGGTTTGTATTGATGCTAGTAAGCCTAATAAGCCGTTTGTAAATTTTGGAGACTAATTTCTTATTGCGAATGTTTTCTCCCAATCTGTGGGCTGTCTTTTCATTTTGTCTATCATTTCCTTTATTGTGCAAAAGCTTTTGAGTTTAAGTAGGTCCATTTGTTTATTTTTGCATTTATTTCCGTTATTCTGGGACATGGATTAAAAAGATGTTGCTGTGATTTATGTCAGAGTGTTCTGCCTATGTGTTTTCCCCCAGAAGTTTTATAGGGTCCAGTCTCAACATTTAGGTCTTTAATCCATTTTGAGCTTTTTTGTGTGTTTAGACTTAAGGAATGATCTAATTTCATTTTTTTTTTTACATGTGGCTGTCCAGTTTTCCCAGCACCATTTGTTGAGGAGACTCTTTCCAACATTGTGTAGTCTTGACTCCTTTGTCATAGATTAATTGACCATAGGTGCCTGGGCTTATTTCTGGGTTTTCCCTCCTGTTCTGTTGTCTATATTTCTATTTTTATACCAGTAACTTACTCTTTTGATGACTGTAGCTTTGTAGTGTAGTCGGAAGTCATGGAGCCTGATTCTTCCAGCTCTGTTTTTCTTTTAAAGATTGCTTTGGCTATTCGGGGTCTTCTGTGTCTCCATACAAATTCTGAGATTTTTTTTGTGTTAGTTGTGAAAAAATGCCATTGCTAATTTGATAGGGATTACATTGAGTCCGTAGATTGCCCTGGGTAGTATAATCATTTTTTACAACATTTATTCTTCCAGTCCACAAACATGGTATATCTTTCCATCTGTTTATGTCGTCTTCAGTTTCTTTCATCAGCATCTTACAGTTTTCAGAGTACAGGTCTTTTGTCTCCTTCAGTTCAGTTCAGTCACTCAGCTGTGTGCAACCCCATGGACTGCAGCACGCCAGGCTTCCGTGTCTATCACCAACTCCCAGCGCTTACTCAAACTCACATGTCCATCAAGTCAGTGATGCCATCTGATCATCTCATCCTCTGTCATCCCTTTCTCCTCCTGCCTTCAGTCTTTCCCAGCATCAGGGTCTTTTCCAGTGAGTCAGTTCTTCGCATCAGGTAGCCAAAGTTTGGGAGCTTCAGCTTCAGCATCAGTCCTTCCAATGAACACCCAGGACTGATCTCCTTTAGGATGGACTGGTTGCATCTCCTTGCCGTCCAAGGGACTCTCAAGAGTCTTCTCCAACACCACAGTTCAAAAGCATCAATTCTTTGGCGCTTTTTTTATGGAAAACTCTCACATCCATACATGACTACTGGAAAAACCATAGCTTTGACTAGACAGACCTTTGCTGGCAAAGTAACGTCTCTCTTTTTAATATGCTGTCTAGGTTGGTCATAGCTTTTCTTCCAAGGAGCAAGCATCTTTTAATTTAATGGCTGCAATTACATTCTGCAGTGATTTTGGAGCCCAAGAAGATAAAGTCTGTCACTGTTTTCCAGTGTCCAGTCCCATCACTTCATGGCAATTAGATGGGAAAACAATGGATACAGGTTTATCATATATGGCCTTTATTATGTTGAGTTATGTACCCTCTATGCCCACTTTCTGGAGAGCTTTTTGTTTTTTTAATCATAAAAGGTAATTTTCTTTTTTTGTGGTATCTTTATCTGGTTTTGGTATCAGGGTGATGGTGGCCTCATAAAATGAGTTGGGAAGTTTTCTTTCCTCTGTGATTTTTTGGAAAAGTTTCAGAAGGATAGTTGTTAACTGTTCAGCTGGTAATGAATCCACCTGCAATGTGGGAGACCTGGGTTTGATCCCTGAGTTGGGAAGATCCTCTGGAGGAGGGCATGGCAACCCACTCTGGTATTCTGGCCTGGAGAATTCCATGGACTGCATAGTCCATGGGGTCGCAAAGAATCAAATGTTTGATAAAATTGGCCTGGGAAGCCATCAGGTCCTGGACTTTTGTTTCTTGGGAGGTTTTTAATAATAGTTTCAGTTTTAGTGCTTGTGATTGGTCTGTTCATATTTTCTATTTTTTCCTGGTTCACAGTCTACGGAGACTGTACCTTTATAAGAATTTGTCCATTTCTTCCAGGTTGTCCGTTTTATTGGCATACAATTGTTCATAGTAGTCTCTTATGACCCTTGGAATTTCTATGGGGTGAGTTGTAACTTCTCCTTTTTCATTTCTAATTCTACTGATTTGAGTCTTCTCCCTTTTTTCCTTGATAAGTCTAGCTAAAGGTTATCAATTTTATCTTTTCAAAGAACCAGCTTTTAGTTTCATTGATCTTTGTGATTGTTTTCTTTGTCTCTATTTCATTTATTTCAGCTCTAATCTTTATGATTTCCTTCCTTCTACTAACTTGAGGTTTTGTTTGTTCTTTCTCTAGTTGTTTTAGATGCAAGTTTAGCTTGTTGATTTGATGTTTTTCTTATTTCTTGAGGTAAGATTGTATTATTATGAACTTCCCTCTTATAACTGTTTTTGCTGGATGTATATATGTTGACTAGTGTAAAATCCTCTTCTTGTATTGATCCTTTTATCACCATATAGCATCCTTCTTTATCTTTATGGCTTTTGGTTTAAAGTCTATTTTGTCTAGGTATAGCAACTCTTGCTTTCTTGTCGTTTTTGTTTCCATGAGATATCCTTTTCCATCCCTTTACTTTCAATCTATATGTCTACTCTGCCTTAAAGTGGGTCTCTTCTAGGCAGCATATTGTAGTTTGTTTTAATCCAGACTGCCATTCCATCTTTTGATTGGAGCATTTAGTTCATTAACATTTAATGTAGTTATTGATGGATGTGTATTTATGCCATTTTAAACATTGTTTTCCTGTTGATTTTATATTTCTTCTTTGTCCCTTTTTCTTTTTGCTTTTTATTTTGTGGTTTGATGATTTTTTTTCTTGTATTATACTTATGTTCTCTTTCTTTTGGTTTCTGTGAATCTATTGTATGTTTTTGATTTGTTGTCACCCTGTGTTTCAAGTATGTTAACCCTTTCGTATATCTACTTGCCTTAGACTGGTAGTCATATAGGCTCAGATACATTCCAGGGGGAAAAGATCCACATTTTCTTACTCTCTTCCCCCACATTTTATGATTTTGATGTCCTCTTTTACATCTTCATATTCATCCTTTTGCTGTGCATTGTGGGTATAATCACTTTCAGAGAAAATTTTAAAATCAGCATAAATATCTTCTTTGAAGAAATAAATTTATAGAGTTTAGGACTGACTTGTTCAAATGAGTTGTTGAATTTTCATTTTACTTGTTAATGGTAGTTTTTTAAATCTTAAAGTATCACAATTTTAAGATACTAGTATTATATCTATTCTTCTATATTTGTAACGGAAAATGTAACATAAATTATTGTATTTTAAACCAATTTAAAAAATTAAAAAGTACATGTCTCAATAAATATCATATGTTCACATCCTTATGTAGAAGCCCTCTGATGGTTAAGCCCTTTGCTGCTTTTCTGCCATAGTTGACATGACGGCAGTCTGTGAAGTTAGCTGTGTGATTATGTACAACTTGGAATTACTTTAGGTTATTCTTTGAAAATAGGACTTCAAGCAAAACGTCTTGTATTCCTTTTGCAGAAATGTTGCTGAAGTGCTGCTGAAAGGGCCAGAGATGCAAGGATTTGGGACACATTTTGAACCTTTAAGCTGTCTGACATTGACCTCCTTCCATTATTAATAAAGAAGAAGCAGGAGCTTAGGATGTATTAACACCAACTCATTAATATACTAACCGGACAATGTTCTGCAACAATTCTACATTGTAGAGCTGGATTGGCCCAAAATAAAATAATTTCTTAGTATACCCAGCTTATAATATGACTCGATGGAGGAAAATTTGATAAGCATGAGAGAAGACCATTCTTTTCATGTTCGTTACAGGTAAGACTGCTGCTTTCTTAGTGGGTAATTTTAATACCTATTTAACCATGTGTTTAACTCTGATCATTTGAAATTTAAATATAAAAATATTAAAAATATACTAGCCATAGTATCTCCTTTAAACAGTGTTTTCTCTTTTTTGTGGTTGTAGTAAGTTTTTATATCATTTCTATAGGAAAATTATAGTAGAGAACAATTATATTCTATAATTTGTTTATTAATGTTCTGTGGAAGAGTTTATGATTAGTTATTTTAAACTCTGTTTCTCTTTTTATAATGCAAATTTAAAAGTGAAATATATTTCTGAATCTTCAAGGGTAGAAGATAGATTATGTAGTGTGGTTGGCTGAACGACCTAATTTTTGTGTTACAGTTTTTAAATAGTGATTTTTTATAAATGAGCTTTTAAGAAAAGGGGTGTTAATGTTGGAGTGGGTGGGTACTTTCTAAACATGATAAATGAATAATCAGTTTAATATTTAGTGGTAAAATATTAATGACATTTCTGAGATATTTAGGAACAAACCAAGAAATATGTACATCATCATTATTTAACATTTATTTTGGAAGTTATGCTCATTGTTCGTAACTGTAAAATAAACACAAAATTTAGAATGGAAGACTTAATTATCAGGTGACTAGATATTAATAGATTCCTTATCAAAACTGTTATGAGTTAATATTAAATAAACATCAGAACTTCTAGCTTTGAATAGCGTTCTTATCCCTAATGAGTGAAGGTGTTTGATACCAAACCTTAGGTATCTTAGCACTTGCATAGGAAATAGTGAGATTTACTGTCATTTGCTTTGGAGCAGATGGTTCATGTTTGGGCACGGTGCCAAGAAAGTTTATATAGGTAAGCTGAGGGCATTTCTGTTGCAAATTTAAAAGTTTCCACTGAAATAAACTTTTTTGAATGGAAGACATTCAATATAATTTAAATGAATTTTGAATAGAAATGCTTGCGCTCTACCCTCTGGGACATAGTTCCAGAAACCTCTGTGTCTAGTGTGAAGTCTTGCCAGTTTTACTTCCTAAATGCTGCTCAGAGTCATCTATCCATCTGGATTCTCTCCACCACTGTGAAAGTTCAGGTCCCCATCGTCTTCCTTCTAGACTCCTTCCATCCTCCATTCTGTCCTCTTGGAATCTCTTTTAAATTTGCCTCTAGAGGGCTTAGTATGAAGAGACAGAGTTAATCATGCAACCTCTGCATAATCTCTTTGGTGGCTTCTAGTCACCTGCAGGGTAGAGCCATGCTTAATACAGTACACAGGAGCTTGCATTACCTGGCCCCTACGTGCTCCTTCATCCTTACTTCCTGCCATTCCTCACCTCGCACTGTGAGCTCTGGTCCCCTGCACATGACTCAGTGCCCTTGCTGGTGCTGCACCCTGTGACTTGAATGCCCTTCCTACTTTCTTGGTTTAGCTAATTCTACTCAATATCTAGGAATTCAGCTCAAAAATATTCTTCTGGAAACTGTTTCTGAACTCCATATTTTAAGTGCCTTCTCTGTGCTCACATATCCTGGACATCTCTCTTAGCACTAACTATATTAAACTTCAGTGTACCTGTTTATATGTGTTTGTCTCCTCCTTTGCCACTCCCTACTTTGACTATTGGCTCCCTTTGGGCACCCATGATGCCTAGCTTGTTGTCTGGCTCCACATTTGATGGAATGTCCTTTGAATTTCATTGGCTATAACCATTAAATGAACTTGATGGTTCACTCTTGAAAATATTTAATAAGACAGGTAGTAAGATGTTTATCTGTCTTGCTAAATATTTTCAAGAATGGCTTACTTCTTTTTTAAAAAAGTTATTTTTAATTGAAGGATAATTGCTTTACAATATTGTAGTGGTTTCTGCCATACATCAATATGAGTCAACCATAGGTGTACCTATGTCCCCTTCCTCTTGAACTTGCCTCCCACCTCCTACCACATCCCACCCCTCTAGGTTGTTACAGAGGCGTGGTTTGAGCTCCCTGAGTCATTCAACAAATTCCCATTGACTATCTGTTTTACATATGGTAGTGTATGTATTTCCATGTGTTTAATATTTTAACAGCAATTGATGAGGAGTGGATTATACCTGTGCCTATAAGAAGATCTTAGATTTATTGTTTTTCATGATACAGCATAGGTCAAACATGGTTATATATTGGTCGAGGACTTCACCTATAAAAGAAATGTAAAACTTTTAACTATTTTTAGTAAGACTACACCAAACAAATCTCTGGTTTTGTCAGTCCTGTAAAATTAGCATTCTGTATACTGACTGGATTAGTATGTAATTGCAGGTAATAGTTTGGATCCCTTTTTTTAGGCGTCATGTCCTTGTATAGGTTATTTTTCTGTTCTGGTAAACACTTAGCATGTAATGTTTTATCCATCTGGTTCTTTCATCGAGGTCCTCGTCTATCCCTGGAGGAGTTTCTGTGGCACAATGTGTTTGTAAATTTTGACATGGAATAATTCTTCAGATACTAAGAAACCTCCTAGGAGATATCAGATTGCTTTATGAAATATTTTGCAACTTATTTATGAAGGTAGAGAGAAATAGAGACTGACAGTAAAATGGGATTTGTTTCTAAACTTTTAAAAAGTGTGCAACTGATTTTAAATAACTGTCATTAAATTTTTTAGGATTGGTAATAGTACTGTGATTGTATTTTTTGAAAATGACTCCATATCTTTCAGAGGTACATACCAAAATATTTACAAATGAAATTCTGTGTTTTCTAGAATCTACTTCAAAAGTTGTAGAGTGAGGGTGGAAGTAAAGATGAAATATATATTGATAATGTATCATATATTGGTAATTGTTGATGTAGAAAGGTTCATTATATTAATTTCTCTAGTTTTGTATTTCTTTGTTTAGCTTCTTATATACACTTGTTTAAGTATAACAAAGAAATACAATTAAATATTTTTATTTACTTATATAATTATACTTTGTTTGCTTATATAATTTATAAGTAAATTATATAAGTAAAAAATATAAGTAACAAAGGAATTTCCTTGTTTATACTTGTTACTATGAAGAAAAACATTTCAATACTTTAATATAAAGATTAGGCTGTTACACATAAGTTGTGAAGGAATGCAATTTTAGTATTGAATTTTTCAATTTTGCTAGATAAATGTAATTATTAATAATATTCTTTCTGAATAGTTTGAGGTAATGTGGAGTGGTGGAAAGAACACTGGATTTGGAGACAAAGACAGGATTTCACGTCTCAGCTTTGCATCATATGATCTTAAGCAGGTCACTGAGCCTCATTTTCCCCTTCTATAATAATACCCATCTTACAGCATCATTTTGAGGATGAAATTTATTATAATGTAGAATAATCACTTTTAAAACCAAGTTACCAATCAGAATTTAAATTTAATGCAAGATAGTTTTGTACTTTCCCTTTGACAAAGTAAACTAGAAGTAACTAGATATATGTGGTAGACTGGATAGATGAAAATTGTTTATGGTGGCTAGGATTGGTAATAAAAGGATCTATGCCCAATTAAAACACAGAGAAGGTGGAACTAGGGGTTACAGCGAGCCAGTTGACAACCACAGGAGACAGAACAGTGGAGAAGGTGCAGGGCACTCTTGCTTTGATCTTAAGTCCTGAATCCCATCATTTATTCTTAATTATCATATAAGCCTTTGAAGGGAAGTCAGATTTGGACAGAGCTGGTTATTAATTTTTTTTAATGTAGCATCAAGATTTTAATCCTCTTTTGTTTTCATTGATATACTGTAAAACCAAAAAGAAGTGAAGAAAAACATCAAGTTGTAGGAGAAGAGTAAAAAATAATAAAATATAAAAGTTAAAATAAGTTGAAATGATGTGAGATTGTGCAGAAGATGAAGATTGAAAGATGTAATGTTCAGTCTGTTGACAAAAATGTAAACATTTCAGTCAAAGATAGTAGTGCTGTCTTTATACTTACTAGAAATATACTTTTTTATTATTATATAATTCAGTGGACCATTAGGAAGAATGAAAAAAAAACTTTATATGTGGGATATATTTTAATGGACAGATATTTTCCTGGCTTGTCTTCTAATCTTCGTATGTTTGTTTTCAACCCAACTGGTAAACAGATGAAGTAATTCTATTCTCTCATAGAGACAGAGAGGATATGAAATTACTTTCTCTGTTACTATTTAATGATCTTCTAAAAAATTTATAAACCAGCCTTCCTTCACTATTTTGCAATTAGCTATATTTGAGGTGTTGGAGATTTTGCCAGAACTTTGACTTTTTTTCCAATAAAATATATCAGAACTATACTATATGTCAAAATAAACTCATAAGCTAGAGAGTTTGAGCTTTATTTTGAGCATTTGTTGCTGAAATGATTTTCTAAGGTAGATTGTCCTGCAGGGCAGTCTCACCTTTAAGGACGGTGTAGCCAGCAGGGTTCCAGGTAGCTATCACTGTTTCCAATGAGAATTATATAAAATACCTTTAAAAAGATTTGTAATTCTTAGGATACCATTCAGCCTTATAGTTAAGTTCTGTGAGATGCAACAGCATTTGGATTGATGGTTCCGTTATAATGTATAAATTTAAGTTCAGAACATCAAATATTTGTGGCGAAGATATTTGAAGAAGATGCTTCTCTGTTTTATATGGACATACTGTTATTAACTTCCAGTTTTTATACATCCTATATATGAATAGTTCTGACAAAAAAGTTAATCATTAGTCAATCTTAGAAGGAAAGGGAAATTTGTGCCAACTGGAGGATTATAACCCTGGAGACAGTCTTTCAGAAAGCTTTAAGGACGACTATGCCTGAGAAGTCAAGGCACAGTAATACAAGTTTTTGAGACAAGGAGAGCTTTACGTCAAAGCAGTGTGTTGACAGTTCACATCATCCAACAAGGTGAGAGTGACCCCTTACAGGATTGAGAAAAGTGTTTTCTCTTAAGGAGTTATGTGCTAGCTCCAGGAGTAATTGCCTTTTCGGCAGGTGCGGGGGGCAAGTAGGCATTCCTGTGTCTTCTAAGGGGATCCAGTTAATGTCTTATGCAGAAGGTAGTGGCTCAAATGGCAGAGAAAGTTTTATGTTAATTTTTTTTGTCTTGCTTTAAATCTGTCTCAATAGCCTTGTCTTTTATTAATTTCCTGGCCAGCAACCTAATCATCCTGGATTAATGGTTCCTCAGGTGACGACAGTTTCTCTATCACTCTCTTAGTGAAGGCATGTGCCATCACTAGTATTCTATCCTATGGTGGCATGTAATTTTTTAAACCAATACTCTGTTGATGGGCGTTTAAACTGTTTGTGGTTTTTCACTTCTGTGACCATCCTTTTAAATTTGTGTTGATGTAGCTTTAAGATAAACTCCTAGTGGTGAAATTGCTCAACATATAATTTTTTCCATAATTGGTATTATGCTTAAAATTTGTTAATAGAAACAGTAATGTATTTTATGTGTAAAAATGTCTTTTCCAATTTTTCTCCCATGATAATTCTTAGAAGTTCAGTGGTTTCAGTATTTAGACAAATAAAAATAACTAGCTCAAATACCTCATCTGGCAAAAGAACCCTTTGATAAAACCACATTTTTATATGTTAATCTTTTGCTGACTCTTCTCTTCACACATTCGATATACCAGTAACCTCATAAGAGGTTTTTAAACAAAAGTAATTTTTTTCTTTTATGAACTCTTTCATATTCAAAAATAAAGGGAAGTTTTCATTTGTGGAAGACAAAAATAGGTTTTATTAATTTGAAGTGACCTATAAAGAAATATAAAACAGCAATTTAAGATTTCCAGTAAACTAATTAATTTTTCTATATGCTTTAGCTTTCCCCACCCATCCCTAGTCTAATGTTAAAGCAAAATGTTAAAAAGAGGTTAACTTGCATTATTTTACCTTGTTTTATAAAGTGAGGGTGAAGTCATTAGTCTAACTATGAACAAGCAGTTTAGCCTTTGGCTAAATTATTTAAAAAAAGACACCTGGATATAAAACTTAAAAATTACCTCTCAGAGATGACTACTTCTGAGCGAGAATTCTGCTTTGAATCTTTGTAATTGACTCTGTTAATCTAGATTTTTCATCTAGCTTCATCTGATTTATTTTCCACTTTTACAACCCCATTTTAATTTATGACTCTAAGGATCCTTGAAGTTTTATAGGCTGAAGACAGCACCTGAAGAAATATATTAATTGACCTACTACAAAAAGTACACAGTGTAATCATATTTCAGTGAGTTTAGGGTAAGTGGTGGTTTAATTCACATTTCCTGTTAAAGGAGTGATTCTCAACCCTGGCTTGTACATTGGAATTACCTGGGAGCTGTTAAACAATTCTGAGGGCATACCTCATGCCCAGGGGAGTGTGGGACCCAAAGTTGTTTTAAAAAGTGCTCCATGTGAGCTCTACTATTGTGCAGCCGGGATCAAGAGCCGCCACTCACGTAGAGTTGCTCAAAGGCAAGTCTAGTAAGAAGTAGTTTAGTGCTGCTCTAAAAATTAAAATGCTTGATGAGCTAAATCAGAGTCTTCCAACGGGTGGTATTATACCACTGGTAGTACCTAAGTTTATTTTACTAACTTTTTTTTTTTTAACTGGAGGCTAATTACTTTACAATATTGTGGTGGTTTTTGCTATACATTCACATGAATCAGCCATGGTGTACATGTGTTCCCCATCCTGAACCTCCCTCCCACCTCCCTCCCCATCCCATCCCTCAGGGTCATCCCAGTGCACCAGTCCTGAGCGCCCTGTCTTAATAGTTACATATTTGTTTTGATGTGCATTAGAAAAGGGAGTATCACATCAAACTCAACTTCATGGATACTGCTTTGGATGAAGCTAGATTTTTTTTTTTTTTTTAATGTGCTGTGCTTAGTCACTGAGTCAAGTCCGACTCTTTGCAGCCCATGGATTGCAACCCACCAGGCCCCTCTGTCCATGGGGATTCTCCAGGCAAGAATACTGGAGTGGGTTGCCAGGCCCTCCTCCAGGGGATCTTCCCAACCCAGGGACCGAACCCAGGTCTCCCACATTGCAGGTGGATTCTTTACCTCTGAGCCACCAGGGAAGCCAGTTAATGGCACATGCCGATTGAAAGGAATTTGCCAAATACAGAAATACATTTAAGTGAATGACTGTGTGGTACATAGACATGGCAGAAATCATGAAAATGTTGAAGAACCACCATGGCAATTTTGATGAAGAGCACCTACTAAAGTGTAGGATTAGAATTGGAAGTATTGGTGTTTTTTCTCTTAGATATATTTATAGTAAGAATTCTTCTGGCTTTTAAAATTTAGTGACAGACTTTGAGAATTAGAATTTCTGCAAATCTTTAAATCATTGCTTTCTAACATAAGGTTTCTTAACACTTCTTTCATGGAAATGTACCTCGTACCTGAAGATATTTTGCTCTTCTATTTTTCTACAGTATAGGTGATCTTGTGGTGGTAAGACAAGGAAGGAGAGTGTGTGTGTGTGTGTGTGCGCGCGTGCATGTGCAAGCTCACTTGCATGCGCACGTGTGCCTGCATACAAATGAGAGTTCACCTGAGTATGATGCAGAGATGTGTGGTTGGAGGGGCTGAGTAGATCACCTGCATACCTGGATAGAGAAGAGTATTACTTAAAGGATTTCTCCTCCCATAGGCATTCCTTTTCTCCCCAAACTCCCAGAAAGTCCGATAGTCTGCCATAACTCAGAACAGTTTAGGAAACACTATTTTAGATTCTCTCATTGGTAAAACAGGTTGCTCTGGGTGAGCCGATTAGAATGAGCTCTGTTGACAAAAAAAAAAAAAAAAGTAATGGATCTAAGAAAGAAATGAAATATTTTATTCAAGCCAAACTGAGGATTATAACCTGGGAACACCTCTCAGAAAGCTCAGAGAATTGTTCTGCCCCTTTGAGGTTCAAGCACTGTACATTAGATGACATATTACTGACATTTTTCACGACCCACATCTACCTGTGCAAAGCAAGATATGAGTCATGGATCACCATGGCCCATTACAAGACCTCTTAAGGGGTCATTGTGACATCTGATGAGATTGAGAAGGAATGTTATCTCTTAAGGAGGTCTTGTTAATGCAGATGCGCAACAGATACAAAAGGGGAGGAAGGAAGCCAAATGAGCAGAAGAAAAATTTTATTTAACTCTTCCTCCTCTTGCCATAAAATGTGAATTTTATTTCACCAGCTCCATATAGAGATGTTTAGCTATCCTGTAAAAAAGACCTGTGTTCTTCTCCCCACGGGGGCCCAGTGTGCAGTGGCTGCCACAGCACCCTCCTCAGTAGTGTACACAGCCTGTTGCTCTCCAGGTTGTCCTGAGGGACCTTGGAGACACCCCTTTCCAGTGGACACTCATGACGCACGCTGTCCCCAGTCTTGACTCCAGACAGGTATGTGTGGTGCCTTTGGAAAGCCCCAGGGTACAGTGGCTGCGGTCCATGTTGGCCAAGTCATAATGTCCATCTGCACCAAGCTACAGAACAAGGAACATGTGATTGAGGCTCTCTGCAGGGCCAAATTCAAGTTCTCTGGCCACCAGAAGATCCATCTCTCCGAGAAGTGGGGACTTACTAAGTTTAATGTAGATGAATTTAAAAACATGGTGGCAGGAGAGTGGCTTATCGCAGATGGCTGTGAGGTCAAGTGCATCCCTGATCCTCGGGCCCAGCACTCATGAGAGCCCTGGTGCTGCCCCCTCCTCACTCACGCCCACCAATAAATCCTACTTCCTGTCAAAAAGAAAAAGACCTTTGTGGTTGAGAGACATTTGAATAGGCAAAGTTTACTGTGTTATCAATAGTGTGTATATACTTCAGTTGTAGAGGCAGCTGTTGTAAGCAAGAATTGCCACAGTCCACCTTGAAATTATATTGCTGGAAGTTAAAGACACTGATACAGTTGTAATGTAATGTTGTAAATGTCTGTCCTATATAATTTTATAGAATGGAAGCCTCTTGCCTTGAACTGGCCTTGGAAGGGGAGCGTCTGTGTAAATCTGGAGACTGCCGTGCTGGTGTGTCATTCTTTGAAGCTGCAGTTCAAGTTGGAACTGAAGACTTAAAAACTCTTAGCGCTATTTACAGCCAGCTGGGCAATGCTTATTTCTATTTGCATGATTATGCCAAAGCACTAGAATACCATCATCATGATTTAACTCTTGCAAGGTAATTAATTTAAGCTTTTTCATACTTTCTCCCTAAATTGTCACTTTAAAAAACATTTTCATTCAATTAAAAAAATTAATAGTACATTTAATGAGTTTTAATTCATTAGCATTGCATTGTAAAACTAATCTTTAGGCTGAACACAGTTTAATTAAGTAAATGAATAGTGGTGAAATGATGTTAGAGTTTAATTAAGTGAATGAAAATTATATTTAAATACAGAAATGTAAGTTTAAAATTTTTATTTAAAGTAGGTTTCAAGAATAATGAGTCTTTTTTACCTTAAGCATGTCAACTGTTCTCTAGGGAAAACTGTATTCTGGCTGCTTTATATTTTAACACACTGTTTTCTTTTTCCCTTTTTTAAACCCTAGGACTATTGGAGACCAGTTGGGGGAAGCTAAAGCTAGTGGTAATCTGGGAAATACTTTAAAAGTTCTTGGGAATTTTGATGAAGCTGTAGTTTGTTGTCAGCGACACCTGGATATTTCCAGAGAGCTTAATGACAAGGTAATGAGGAAACATTAGATGGTAGACCAAATGTTTTCATTTGAAATTGCTTTGTGTTTTAATCCTATTTAATTATTCTACAGTTTATCTAAAAGTTAATACCAAAAAGAAAGTACAGAAAAATGAGAGAAGAGAAACAAAAAGAGTTTTTAATAGATGAGAAAAAGAGATAGTAAAAGGTCCTTCTTTCATACATGGTCATGTGTTTTGTGGTTCTGTATGGATGGCTGATGTAAACATTTTTTTCTCTTGACCATAATATCAAGGATGTTACAAATAAGTATATGTGATAAGCATTGCAATGCTGGCCTCTGATTTCAGAATATTTTCATCTAGGTGGGAGAAGCAAGAGCACTTTACAATCTTGGAAATGTGTATCATGCCAAAGGGAAAAGTTTTGGCTGCCCTGGTCCTCAGGATGCAGGAGAATTTCCAGAGGAAGTAAGAAATGCTCTGCAGGCAGCCGTGGATTATTATGAGTGAGTAACCCTGATGCAGTCATGTGGTCCACCTCAGACAGTAGTGAAGTTTTTAAGTTTGGCAGGCATTTTAAAATCATAGACTAGTAAGTAAAATAGATCATGAAGTTGCTGCTAAAATGTTACAGTGTTCTATTAGTAGTAATCTCCTCCCTCCCCAGGAAAACTTTCATTTAAACTGCAGACCAGTGCCACCTAGTGGCACAAATAAGAAATATCAACAGTGAGTCTTAGGTTATTCGGAGTCTTTTATCGACAGACTTTCATAGAACTTCTTAGCTGTACAGGTTCTAAGATTACTCTGTCCTGGACTCTGAGAAGAAACCTACCTGAATGGTTGAGTAAAATGTTCCCAGTTATTTCCTGTAACCATCCTCCAGCACAGACATATCATTAAAACGTGGCGCATTATGGCTGTAAGCTTATTTACATTTTTTTTCCTATAAAGAATTCGATTTGTAGGGAAGCTCTTCAGTGGGGCTAGGAGCTGAGTGCGCTTAGTCACTCTACCCCATGTCCCTTGAGAAGGTCTGAGACTAGGGCCATAGAGCAGCCCCAACAGGGCCTTCCCTGAGCTTCGGGGAGGTGAGTTCCCAGAGAACGGGGCTCCGTGAGTGCAGACTGGGCAGGAGCTGCCATGGACCCCGCCCTTGTGGAGGGGCCTGGCGGAGGCCTTCTCAGCCGGAGCTTGGAACAGACTCACGGCCAGCGAAGTGAGTTCAGTGGCTGAGGGGAGGTACCCCGCGTGGGGGCCTCGTAACCCAATTCAGACTACTCCCGTCCGTTAAAAATAAACAAATAAATAAAAAGAATTTGATTTGTAAATAAAAATCAATAAATGGTTTTTTCAACCTTGTTTGTTTGTTTGTTTTAAAAAAAACTCTTTGTTATCACTTAGGGAAAACCTATCACTAGTGACTGCTTTGGGTGACCGAGCAGCCCAAGGACGGGCCTTTGGAAATCTTGGAAACACGCATTACCTCCTTGGCAACTTCAGGGATGCAGTTATAGCTCATGAGCAGGTACAGTAAGGCTTTGGAGCCAGATCATCTTCTTCATCAGTGTTTTGAACAGCTTTCAGATTTTTTTTTAGTTTTATCTAATTAAAACTTTCTGTTTCAGCGTCTCCTTATTGCAAAAGAATTTGGAGATAAAGCAGCTGAAAGAAGAGCATACAGCAACCTTGGAAATGCATATATATTTCTTGGTGAATTTGAAACTGCCTCTGAATACTACAAGTTAGTCTAATATTTCTGTAGATAAATGTAAAATGGTTAGTTATATAGTCCAATAAATCATAGGCTTTGGGTTTATAGCTTTTTTGGTGCATTTTAGCGGCAGGACTTTTGGCTCTCTAAGTCTGAGGCTTCTCATCTGTAATCAGAGATGTCAGTACTTTGCTTTGGGGATTGTTATGAGGACTGAATGAAAGAATATATTAAGCACTTATTTAGCACAGTACTTGGCACACAGTGCTCGATATGTGTTATTGTTAACAGTTAGTAGCAGCAGCATAGCCCCTTTATATTTTTATTAATTTTTACCTTTAAAACTGTTTTCAATGACATTCTAAACATTTAAAGTCTTTTACACTGGTTCAGCATGTATGGTGTATATATTTACATGCTCCCCCACCACCAATTATGGGTTTACAGAGAGGCTACATGAAAGCCTGGTAACAAACAGATGCCCTAGTTTCCTCCAGCAATTGCGGAATTTCCCCCAGCTCATCCTACCATCTCACCGAGTAGTTCTCCTACCCTCTCTGCCTATTTCTGGTTATCTCTAGAAGCTGAGGCCCTGTTCACTTGAGTAGCACTCCAAGCATCTTCTGAGACAGAGTCTCTTTAAGCTGTTGGTAGGCTTGAAACATACATGATAGCAAAGTTTAGGCTGCTTCATTTTGCCTGATCTCTGCTTTCGAGATTGTTTGGAGTTTTCTCTAATTAGTGGCAATTAAAGGTCCATACAGGCCTTAGGCAGAAGCCATATGACGGAACCAAGGACACAGTGACTGATTTATATTTTGTTAAAGAATCTAGTGTGAGAGACAGCTGGAAAGTTTATCATCTAAAAAAAAGGTAAAATTGTTTAGGTCCATGTTAAAAACTAGACTGCCATCCCATTTAAACTTCAACTAATGGTTGGTATTTGTTGGTTGACTAGTTAGATATGAAATAACCTTCTAAATAAAATACATCACTATACAAGGAGTATATATTTTGACTTTAAATATAAACATTTCTTATATTTTAAATCCAAAAGACATAGAAAAGTCTTAACAAATGATGTATTTGTATTAAATACTGGAAAGTTCTATAATAAAGTAGAGATGGTGGCTGTTTGACTAAAGAATCATGAGTATAAAGTAATGAAACTTACTCCTGCCCCACACACCCACAGGTGAGGAGAACTCAGAACTTTATACATACTACAAAAATACTGGCTAAAAATATTTTTGGAACTCTTCTTTGGAATTGTTTTCAGAGCCACACTTGAAAAACTCTCTTAATATTACAGGTCTATAATAGAAAGGATAGAAACAGTAGTTGGTAAACCTACTTTAGTAACCAAGTTTGGTTATAGAAAGACTTCTAACTATTTTCAAATTAACTGTATTCTAAAAGGATAACAGTATGCCAGAAAGGACTGTGCCACAGGGTCAGAAGACAATTCCAAAAGTCTTCCAAAAATGTTGGCGAGGACAGGCAATGTTAGAGTAAGTGTGTAGCCTCTCTGGGTGACAAATTTGAAAGTATCATTATCAAATATATAATTTCAGATTTGTTTGATTAATAAAACTATCAATTATCATATACTTATCTTTCATATAGTTATAATGATATGCAGTATTTATACTGTTTGGCAGAAATTATTGGGAAGAGTCATTTATATTACTGGATCCAAAAGCATCTGTAGATTGAAGCACTGATGATAATAATAACAAAACACTAACATTTATTAGCTTCTACTGGGAGCAAGATGCTATGCTAAGCACATTATATATACTAATTCATTTAATCCTAACAAAACCTATTTTTTACATATGAGGAAACTAGTGCATAGAGAGGCTGAGTGACTTGTCCCAGTTACAGATGTACTAACTCACAAAGCTGGGATCTGAACCCAGTCAGCCTGGCTCTAGGGCCCATGCTCTTAACTACTGCGGTGGCTTCTCATTGGTGATTCCACAAGGTAGAGTTTGGTTAATATTTAAATGTGGCATTTAATATTTTTCATGAACTGGTGACTTATGGCCTATACAAAGCAATTTACATTAGTATTTTCAGTTTTGACAAAATGGAAAGGCAACAGTATGATGCATGTAGACAAACTGACTTAATGTTATTGCATTGCAACAGGGAAGTTCAGTTCAGTCGCTCAGTTGTGTCCAACTCTCTCTGACCCCATGGACTGCAGCATGCCAGGCCTCCTTGTCCATCACCAACGCCCGGAGTTTACTCAAACTCATGTCCATTAAGTCAGTGATGCCATCCAACTATCTCATCCTCTGTTGTCCCCTTCTACTCGGGCCTGCAGTCTTTCCCAGCATCAGGGTCTTCTCAATTGAGTCAGCTCTTCGCATCAGGTGGCCAAAGTATTGGAGTTTCAGCTTCAACACCAGTCCTTCCAATGAATATTCAGAACTGATTTCTTTTAGGATGGACTGGATGGATTTCCTTGCAGTCCAAGGGACTCTGAAGAGTCTTCTCCAACACCACTGTTCAAAAGCATCAATTCTTTGGCAACAGGGAAAGGTTTTTTAAATGTTAAAAATACTGTTAATCTTTAGAGGCACTTGATCTTATGCATCAATTCTTCTTTTATCTGGGGAATTAATAGGATTCATATAAGTCTGAATTTGTTTTTTGTGTTTCAAGGATGTCTTTTCATTTTACCTAGAAGTAGTGGAAAAAGTACGGGATATTAGGCCCTTAAGTAGGTTTACTTTAAAGGCAGGAGGAAAGTGAGTTTTATGTTTACTATAGCCAATAATAAAAATGATCTTTATGTAAGAATTAATTTGTTTTTTCAGAAAGACTCTACTATTGGCTCGCCAGCTTAAAGACAGAGCTATAGAAGCACAGTCTTGCTACAGTCTTGGAAACACATATACTTTACTTCAAGACTATGAAAAGGCCATTGATTATCATCTGAAGCACTTAACAATTGCTCAAGAGCTTAATGATAGGTAAGTTCTACACCTTTTTATTGTTATCATAAAATATAGATATATTGTTGAATCCCTAGAATTTTTCCTTTAAGTTTCTTTTTTGGTTTGCTTTGTTTTCTTTTTAATTCCTTTATAAGGTATCTTCTCTGTTTCAGTAGCATTCTCTGTATGCTAGCATATATTTTGAAGGGTTAGCACATATTAGAGGATTTGACTGGTTCCATTATAATCTTGAACCAAGATCAGTAAATAGGTCACAAACTCACATGCCTGCAAAGGTCCTCCTACTAGACCAGTGTGAAAATTGTCGTGAAATTAGATATTACTCCTCATGTTAAGGGGACAGCTGCTATTTCACTCCAGCTAAGTGTTGCAGGCCAGGAATGAGGATCCAAAGCCACCTCTTTTTTCAAGAGAAGGGAGGAATTCTGAGTTTTATATAAAATATTCTGATTTTTAAATGTTGCTGGCTAATTTTTTTTAAACTATATTAAAAAACAGAATATTTGTGCAGGACTTTACTCTCTGACATTTGCTTTAAATAGGATAGATTTTTATTTCAGTGTGAAGAATTCTATATACTTATTCAAAATGAAGTATGCTAATTCAAGAGGTAGTGAGTTCTGTCTTCCTCGTAGTGAGTGATTACCCAGTAAGGCTGTCATAGAAAGAAAATGGGGTAGTTGAATTACAAGACCTATCCCTGAGACTTTATTTATAATACACTACATGTTTAAAAAGGATCTTTTCCATTTTAAAACTTGACTCTTGAATTCAGTATTATCTGGATATTCTAACACAGTTATCCCTTGATATCTATGGTGGTTAAGATTCCAGGACCCAAAAAGAAAAAAAAAAGATTCCAGGACCCCTGTTGATACCAAAAGTCATGAAGACTCAAGTCTCCTGTGTAAAATGGTGTCGTACAACCGGCCCTCCATAGCGAGGAGTTTCTCAAATCATGGTTGAATCCCCAGATGCAGAACCTGAAGCAGGCCAACTGTATATCTCTAGTATTATGATGGTTTGTTCTTTATAAGAAAGACCAAATAAATTCAAAGCATTGTTTTATACCTTTAATTGCTACATGATAAATATTATTCTTCACACCAACTTACTTTCAGATAACTTTGAATTATTTTGTAGAATTGGTGAAGGAAGAGCATGTTGGAGCTTAGGAAATGCATACACAGCTCTAGGAAATCATGACCAAGCGATGCATTTTGCTGAAAAACACTTGGAAATTTCAAGAGAGGTATGAAACTAAAAAATGGTTATTTGTGCTATTGTGATCCACAGATCTGCAGCCCTATTATTTCTCTAGAATCCTGCTATATGGCCGAGTAATAAATTTGATTATGTATTGTTCTCCAGGCATAAGAACTGAAAGCATTTTAAGATACAGATCAGAGGTATGTTTGCACTGGCCTTGATGTAGGATAGAGGAATGAGAGGATCATTGACCTATCTCCACTGTCCCCCCATCTCTATATGGAAGGAGTAGCATGGTATGAAAGGAAGAAGATGGCTTTTAGAATCAAGGACTGGTTCCTGTTACAATTCTGCCGCTTGCTGGCTGTTTGAGCTTGGAAACCTTTTCTGAGCATCATTTCTTTCATCTGTAAAATGGGAATAATAACTGCTTTGCAGATTGTTATAAGGATTAGAGATAAAGTATATAAAAGTGCCTAGTATAATGTCTAGTGCTAGTTTAATACTGTTACTACAGTATGGAAATACAGTATTTTAAGGAAATTTTATTCATGTGATGCCAAGTTAACATGTCACAGAATAACCTACATTATTATTTAATTGATCATAGAGATTAAGATCTGTCTAATATTTAGAGAAGAGTTGATAGAATATATTGTCCTACTGCCATAGTTTAGAAACTTTCCTTTTCTTTCTTCTTTAAAATAGTATTAATGGAAAAAACCATTTCATTTATAGTATTATAATTCTAAAATAACTCTTTTCATTTCTCCATATTTTCTTCCAGTTTTAGGTTCACAATATTTTCAACTAATCTTCACCATTCTTTACTTTAAATACTACTCTAAATATATAAATAAATGCTTGTGGTTGTAGGTTGGAGATAGAAGTGGTGAGCTTACAGCACGACTGAATCTCTCAGACCTTCAAATGGTTCTTGGTCTGAGCTACAGCACAAACAATTCAATGATATCGGAAAATATTGAAACTGATAACAGTTTGCATGGTAAGTATTAGGTCTTCAAAACCCAATTTCTTTATCCTCAAGATTTACATTAAATTACTTATCTCAAGTTTACCATATCCAGAAAGATATATAACAAAGGAACTTTTTATACCTTTTTGCTTTACCACTGCCCCATTAATTTATCAATAGACCCTATTTTATAGCTTTTATCATGAATATGGTGAAGGTATAGTTTTTTTATAAAAATATATTTAAATTCTGTATCTGTAAGCTGGTTCAAAAATTTATAAACATGAAGAAACAAAAATTTAAAAATTTTAATATCTAACCCTGTAAATTTCAAATGTCTTTCATATTTAACTTGTTTAGGTTTTTTTCCCTCATTTCGTTTCTAAGGGGAAATCTCCTAGGATTTTTTTTTTTAGTTCAGAAAACCTAGAAATTTTCTTTAGATGCTGATTTAGTTTTGATGTTGTCACAGGAAAAAATATGCTATAATGTCTGTGTTTCTAAGTGGAAAAAAAACCCCTTTTGATTAAAAAAATAAAATTAACAAGATTATAATCACAGTTTTGAATACCATTTATATGTAATTTTATGTGAGTTCCATTAAACATTCAGCTTAGGCTTAAAAAATTCTCAGTCTGAAAAAAATTACTGACACAGACATGTTTTGAACTTGAAAGCCAGTGAAAAATCTAGCTTTTATCTTTGCAGTATCCTCCTCTACCCATACAAAGAAAAGCAAGAAGAAGAAGAAAAAATTAGTGGCTAGTTACTTGATTAAGACTTTGAAAGAACATTTAGTTGAAAAATGATACTGAAGTATGAACAGTATGGTAAACTCGACTGTGTACTTTGTAATTGAATAATGGACTAAAAGGTTTTCCTGTGTTTAATTTTCAAGTAGGTTAAGCTGTAGTAGCTCTCATATTTTAACAAATGATCACATGTCCTCATGGATCCCTCCAGCTATAGATCTATTCCTCTGTTCCCCTCTATAACAAAACTTGAAAATAATATCCTTGTTCCTTGTCGTATTCTCCTCCCATTCTGTCTTCAGCCCACTGGACTCTGATGACTCAGAGTCACTGGACTCTGACTTTGGCCCCAGCATGACACTAAGACCTTTTCAAGGTACCAGAGGCCTCCATTTTACCAAATACAATGGTCAGTTTTAGATGTCAGCTTATTTGACTTCTCAGCAGTATTTCCTATAGCTGATGATTGCCTCTTCAAATACTTCATTCATTTGGCCTCCAGGATTAACTTCTTTCTGGTTTGCCTCCACCTCACTTGACCACCCATCTTCATAACTCTACTCTTTCTCATGTTTCCATCCTTGACATCTGTAGTGCCTGGGGTTTGGTTGCTGACCTTTTCTCTTCCCTCTCTCCTTTTCTGTTTTCTGCCTATCCATATCCTTCCTTCCTTCCTAATGTTATCCTTTTCCCTCTTATCCTACACTCTAGATCCATGCTAATAGAATTTCCTGTGAAGATGAAAATGTTCTCTATCAGTGCTGTCCACTAGAATAGCTTCTAGCCATATGTGGCTGTTGAGCACTTGAAATGTGGTTAGTGCAAAAAGAAGTGAACTTTTAAATACTATTTAAAGTTTTAAAAGCCACATATGGCTAGTGGCTAAAGGCTTCCCTGGTGGCTCAGATGGTAAAGAATCCACCTGCAATGCTGGAGACCCAGGTTCCATCCCTTGGAGAAGGAAATGGTAACCCACTCCAGTATTCTTGCTTGGGAAATCCCATGGACATAGGAGCCTATTGGGCTACAATCCATGGAGTCTCAAGGGTCAAACATGACTTAGCAATTAAACCACCTAAATGTCTGTTTAGGTTTTTTGCCCACTTTTTGACTGGGTTGTTTGTTTTTCTGGTATTGAGTTGCATGAGCTGCTTGTATATTTGGAAATTAATCCTTTGTCAGCTGTTTCATCTGCTATTATTTTCTCCCATTCTGAGGGCTGTCTTTTCACCTTGTCTGTAGTTTCCTTTGCTGTGCAAAACCTGTAAAGTTTAATTAGGTCCCACTTGTTTATTTTTGCTTTTACTTGCATTATTCTAGGAGGTGAGTCAGAGAATCTTTCTGTGATTTATGTCCTACAGTGTTCTGCCTATGTTTTCCTCTAAGGGTTCTATAGTTTCTGGTCTTACATTTAGGTCTTTAAACCACTTTGAGTTTTTCTTTGTGCATGGTGTTAGAAGTGTCTCATTTCATTCTTTTACATGTAGCTGTCCAGTGTTCCCAGCACCACTTATTGAAGAAACTATCTTTTCCTCATTGTATATTCTTGCTTCCTTTGTCAAAGATAAGGTGTGTGGGTGTGTCTCGGGCTTTCTATCTTGTTCCACGTCTATATTTCTGTCTTTGTACCAGTACCATACTCTTGATGACTGTAGCTTTGTGGTGTAGTCTGAAGTCAGGAAGGTTGATTACTCCAGCTCCATTCTTCTTCCTCAAGACTGCTTTGGCTATTCAGGGTCTTTTGTGTTTCGATACAAATTGTAAAATTTTTTGTTTTAGTTCTGTGAAAAATGCCATTGGTAATTTGATAGGGATTGCACTGAATCTATAGATTGCATTTGGTAGTATAGTCATTTTCACAATATTGATAATTCACATTCTTTGAAAGCATTCATGAAACACTTCCAAAAATTTAGCCACCATGCTGAACCAACAAATTTGAAAGAAACTGTATCACGTAGATTTCAAGCCCTGAGCATGGTGCAGTTAAGTTAGAAATTAACAGGAAGATAATATATAACACATATTCATTTGAAAACTTAAAAACACACTTAAACCTTATGGGTTTAAGAAGAAATCTGAACATAAAATTAGAAAATAATTTAGGACTGAATTTTAATTTATAGGGTACATAACTTACATTGGAGCAAAACTTACATTGTATCATGTTTAAAAAGGAAAAAGATTCAGTGAGCTGAATATTCAGCTTTTAAGTAAAAAATTTAAAAAAAAAAACCCTCAAAAGAAATAGAAGGCAAGAAATAATAGAAATTAATGATATTAAAACAAAGATTCAATAGAGAGTTGTTGTTTTTTTCTTTTTTTGCTGTGCTAAGCCTTCACTGCTTAGCGGGCTAGTCTCCAGTTGTGGCAAGTGGGGGCTACTTTCTAGTTGTGGTGTGCGGGCTTCTCGTTGTGGTGGCGTGTCTAGTTGTGGCGCACTCGTTCTGGGGCACTCGGGCTTCAGTGGCTGTGGCAGGTGCACCTCCAGGGCGCTGGAGCACAGGTCAACAGTGGCACGCGGGCTTAGCTGCTCTGCCACATGCGGGATCTGCCTGGACCAGGGATGGAACCTGTGTCTCCTGCTTTGGCAGGTGGATTCTCTACCACTGAGCCACCAGGGAAGCCCAAGAGAATTTTTAAAAACCCAAAAATTTAGTTAAAGACTAACAACTCTACAGCAAGATTATTTGAGGGGGAAAAAAAAAAGAGAAAGAAGGAACATAATGTAGATGCAGCAGACATTATAAAGAGATTATCCTGAATAATTTTATTTGAAAACCTAGAAGAAATGGCAAATTATTAAAAAAAAAAAAAAAAAAAGCAAAAGCTTACCAAAATTGAATCTAGAAAAATCTACTGGTAGAATGTAATGTGAATGGATGACATCACTAATGCCTAAAACCATAGAGAAATTTGGTCCATTTTGGTTATTTAAAATTTGGTCATTTAAATTTTGGTTATTTAAAATTTGGTCATTTAAATTTTGGTTATTTAAAATCCTTCCACTGAGAAAATACTTGGCCAAGGGGATTTTACAGTGTGATCTCCCAAACATTTAAGAATATTGATTCCAACTTTCTGTAAAATTATATAGGTAACTGGAAAAATAGGAACACTTTATTAGTCTTTCTGAAAAGAGTATAACCTTGATATCCAAACTAGACAAGAACAATATATATAAGAAAGGAAAATTACAGGCAAATCTTTACTCATGAACATAGATGGAAAAATTCTAAACAAAATATTAGCAAACCAAGCCCACAATGTATTTAAAATAAACAGGAATTCAAGTGGACTGAATATCAGGAAATCAATTAATATTATATATTAGTAAATACAATAAAGAAGAAAATAGCTCAAATATCCAAATATGTCAGTAATTCTATTAAATGTAAATGTTCCATTTAAAGGACAGGGGTATCCAATTGGTAAAAGAGCAAAATCCAACTAAATATGTAAGTCTGACAGTAAAAGGATTGGGAAAAAAAAACAACATACCATGGAAAAACTAATGAAGAGAAAGCTGGTACAGCTGTATTAATAACAAATAAAATGTACTTTTAAGGCAAACATTTTGTTAGAAATGAAGACAGTCACTTCACAATGGTTAACAATTCAATTCACCAGGGAGAAAAAAGCCTTATATGTGTATGTATGATACCTGGTAAGCCTAGTAACAAAACTTCAATGTACAAAAGCAAAACGAACTAAACTGAAAGGAGAAATGAGAAAATCCAGCATAAATGGAAACTTAAACACATTTCTGTCAGGAATTGCTCCTGTCAAAAAACTAAATACTATAAAAGATGTCAGTTCTTCCCAAATTGATATATATATATTCATTGTGCTGCCAAGAAAATCATGACAGTTTTTTCATGGAACTCGATGAGGTTGTTCATGAATTTACATGAAAGAAAAATGGCTAAGAACTCAAAGCCAAAACATTCCTGATGAAAAATAAGAAATGAGAAGTGCTTTCTGTACAGATATAAAGATTATAAAGCTAATTAAGACAGTGTTATTGTCATAGAGACAAATAGCTCAAATAGGATATACAGCCTCTATATTTTTAATCCTTGCATATATGGAAATTAGTATCACATAAAAATTCTTGATGGACCAAAGATTTAAATATGAAAGACAGATTTAAAGCAGTAATTATGATCAGCCATCTAACACTTGCTAAATGCTTACTGCGTACCAGGCACTGACTGACCCCTTTACAAGTGATGATGCATTTATGATCACACAGTGATATATAAGGTGGGTATCACTGTTCTTTACGAATGAGAAAAACAGAATGACACAGAGGTAATTGCTCAAGGTCATATCACAATGAGTGATTGGTCTGTTCAATCGGTATGCTATCTCTGAAAGTAAAGAAGAATATTTTCATGATATCAGATCGGGGAGGGATTTCTCAACACACAAAAACAAAACCATTAAGACTGACACTGAAATTAAGAACTTCCTTTCATTAAAAGAAACCATAAAGAGAAACCACAAACTGAGAGGACATTTGCAACACAAATGATTAAAAAGGATTTGTATCCTCAATGTATAAGAACTCCTATGAATTAAGACAGATAACCTAACTAAAAGATAGGCAAAAGTGATGAACAGAAGAAATACAAATAGCCCATAAATATATGAGAAGGTGGGCTTCCCTGATAGCTCAGTTGGGAAAGAATCTGCCTGCAATGAAGGAGAACCTGGTTCGACTGGGTCAGGAAGATCCCCTGGAGAAGGGCTAGGCTACCCGCTCCAGTATTCTTGGGCTTCCCTTGTGGCTCAACTGGTAAAGAATCCGCCTGCAATGTGGGAGACCTGGATTCAATCCCTGGGTTGGGAAGCTCCCCAGGAGAAGGGAAAGGCTACCACTCCAGTATTCTGGCCTGGAGAATTCCATGGACTGTATAGTCCATGGGTTTGCAAAAAGTTGGACATGACTGAGCAATTTTCACTTTTTAACCCATTTAATCAGGGAAAGCTTCCCTGGTGGCTCAGCTGATAAAGAATCCACCTGCAATGTGGGAGACCTGGGTTTGATCCTTGGGTTGGGGAAGATCCCCTGCAGAAGGGAACGGCTACCCACTCCAGTATTCTAGCCTGGAGAATTGCATGGACTATCCATGAGGTCACAAAGAGCCAGACACAACTGAGCGACTTTTTAATCAGGGAAAACCATAGTGAGGTAGTATTGGTGGATGAAAATTAAAAGGCCTGATACCAGTTTGAAACAAATATAGGTAATAGAAGTCCTTAGGCAGTGTTGATGTGAGTAGAAGCTGTAAGCAGAAGAGCAGCCAGGCAGCATTTTGGTAGAGCTGGAGACGTACCGGCCGCATCATCCTGAGCTCCACTCCCAGCTACACACGTCTGACATCCAGACTAGAACAAAGCCTTGCTCATGCACATGAAGTATTTCCAAGAATTTCTACAGTAATATTGCTTACAACAAATAATTGGAAGCAACCTAAATATCTGTGACCAATAGAAACGGTATATGCTTTCTTAGTTCTATAAATTGCATGAAAACTAAACTACTTGTACCAACTTGGATGAGTCTCACAAACATGAGATTGCTCAAAGGAAGCAAGTTAGAGAATACATAGTATGAGACCTTCTATATAATGTTATATATAACAAGCTCCATTGCTTAGAGATGCATCATGTGTAATGAAAACAAAAAAAATTATGGAGGAAGAGGGATGTTATAGGGGGAGTTACAAAAGGGGGAGTTAATGTGTTGGTCATGGTTTTTTTTCTTAAACTGGGTATTATATGTATTTCTTGGCTATAAAAACTTTCCATATTCAATGATGCCTTTTTGAAAAGGATATTTGAAGATCTTTTTATTTAACTTTTTTCCTGACTGGCAGTAAACCTGTTGTCAATGGAGATCTTAAAATGGAAACATATAACTGAGAAAAGTATATTGGGGATGTTATTTTGATTCTTACCTCAAAATTGAAACTTCCCTGATGGCTTAGACGGTAAAGCATCTGCCTACAATGCGGGAGACCAGGGTTCAACCCCTGGGTCGGGAAGATCTCCTGGAGAAGGAAATGGCAACCCACTCCAGTATCCTTGCCTGGAAAATCCCATGGATGGTAGAACCTGGTAGGCTACAGTCCATGGGGTCGCAAAGAGTTGGACACGACTTAGCGATTTCACTATGCTTTCCTTATGTTTTTACTTTTAAAACTACTCTGCCGTTTGGGTGGGTTTTAGGAGACTGTGTATCATATAAGACCAGTTATTAAGAAATGCCTTTTCTAAATTAAGGGGTAATGTTAGTAACCAAAGTTTGTTTGCAACCAAAATCTTAACTTCCTTATATCAAAACGTTCTATTCATTTAGTTGGTGTGGAAAATTATTATTCTTGAAAGAATATACGTTTATACATGTTTCCTCCTTCCATATGGGTTTGTGTAGCGGACTTTAAATTTAAATAACATAGTGATGCTGAATTTGCAGTCTTCAGGGCTCCCTAGTTTATTTGAATTAACTTTTTTTTCCAAAGGTGCACGCCCCAAGTTTGGACGCCGACACAGTATGGAAAACATGGAGCTTATGAAGTTAACACCAGAAAAGGTTGGCAGTTTTTCTGTTTTAAATTTCTTGAACTGTTAAAATATTTTAGCAACTTTTAATTTAAATTAAATAATTTAAGCCCTGTCATATGGGTATCACTTGAATATTTTCCTTTGAAAAGAATCAAGTACAGTGCAAAAACAATGTGTACAGTATGGTGCCATCTGTTCAAGAAAACTTTTATGCATATATATCCTTTGTAATTGCATGTTCCTAGAACGGTTTGTAAGATACTTGATAACAGTGATTACCTCTGGGAAAATTGCTATCTGGGTTATAAGAAATGCTTACTTTATATACTGTTTTGAAGTGTTTGAATATTTTACCATGTACATGCATTATTTTGTTTTTCTTTAAATAAAAGATCAGGAAAATTAAAAAAAAAGATTAAGAAGCTTTTTTCAACTAAATAGCAGCAACATTATTGGCAAGATTAATGATACTTATGATCAAGCTAGTTTTTCTGGCTGCACTTTTGAAAAGCTTTTTTAAACAAAGCAATAACTTTATTCAAGATGCATCTTCTCTAGGATTTTGGTGTTTTTTTTTAAGGTAACAGAGAAGGGACTTTATAATTGGGAAAAAGGTTACTGAAGAATAAACCTAGGCTGCTTTCTTCCACCTCCATTTATCTTAATTTTACATTGCTATGGTTTGCTCTTATTTGTTTATGGTGTATTGATATTTCTTAAAACATTTTTTATAAGATATATCTATTATAACAACTTGGGAAACTTCCAACGAGGAAATTAAAATTATCAATAATCACACCTTCCAAAAGTAAGGAAAATTAATATTTTTGTATTTGTTCATCTGGCATTTTATATGAATATTAACATATACTATTTTATAATACATAGTACTATATCAACATCTTTGTGTCATTATTATTCTGCTCTATTATTACAATAGGCATATGATTTTTGAATATTGACATTTTTTGTGTAAGTAGTCATCATGAGAACAACATCTGATTTGAACTAATTTCCAATATATTTTTTTAATTACAGACTTTTTGTTTTAAACTTCTGGTTAACTTTTGAAGGGCTTCGTGATTTTCTCCAAATATTTACCTCTCATATTGTTAGTGTGGTTCTCAAATCTTTATAGAGTATTTAAAAAAAAGTAGAAAACAAAAAACTTTTAAGTCAGTTTAGATCTTCCTTCTTCTAATAGGTAGGAACCTAGTAATAAGAAGCAAAATTAATTTGGTGTGTCTGTAAGTGGTACTAACAGTAATTCCATGAGAAGCTGATCAGATTCAACCCTGTAATTTTCCAATAGACAAATGATGATAAAGCTTTATCTCTAAGTTGTGATTTTTTTAACCTCATAATAAAGTCAAAGAATTCAGTAGTTTTATCAACAAAAAATTACTACTGCTTCATAAGTTTTAGATGTCAATTTTTTAAGGTTAAAAATTATAGATATATTCAAGCTTCCCAGTTGTAATTAATTTTCAGGTAACTCACATTGAGAATAAAGCTTCAGCTTCTCTGACCATCTAAATTTTATGACTTTTGGCAAACTTTTTCTTATTCTTAAGATTTCTAAAAACCTCCACTTTAATATTTTGATAATAAGAAATTCATAGCATACATTTGGTCCAAGCTTTTGAAAACAGTGAGATATGTTGTCAAAAAGGAATTTATTACTCATCCCACCCCCAGTTACTGATTTTTTTTGATGTCCTGTTTTCCATTTATAATTCTGTAGGTACAAAACTGGAACAGTGAAATTCTTGCTAAACAGAAACCTCTTATTGCCAAACCTTCTGCAAAGCTCCTCTTTGTCAACAGACTGAAGGGGAAAAAATACAAAACTAACTCTTCCACTAAAGTTCTCCAAGACACTAGTAATTCCATTGATCACCGAATTCCGAATTCTCAAAGGGTATGTTTAAAATAAGTTTTAGAGTATTGTGTTTTGAGTTTCTTATATTCATACTGTATTTTTATAATTTATTATTAGATAGTCAATATAAAATATTCAAAGTAGTCTTCTGTATTTTCCTATTTTTTCTGTATTTTCTTTTTTTTTTTGTAGATTCTCTTGTTTATTGCACATGAGTATCTAACTCCAAAGCCAATGATCTAAAATCATTAGATTATATTTCTGTATTTTTCAAAGCTAGAAACTCAAATGTCCTCCATTCAGTTTAGAAGTCAGAACAAATTAAATTCAGATGTTCAAGAATTTTTAAATACTAATTTAAAGTGAGAACTGTCTGCATGCATCAGCTTTTATTTATTTCTATTACTAAAATTCTAATAGAGTTAAAAACAATTTTGCTTAAAAGTGAGCATTGGAATCATATTATTAAATATAAAAAAATATTTAAAAATTGAAAAATACCATGGGATTACTGGTAAGTATCAGGGGTATCTCTAAGCTACCCTACACTCTGATAAAAAAAGATCAGATAAATTAGAAAGAAGCTACTTCAAATTACCAAGCCCATTTTTCAAGCAGTGAGAATCTTTTAAAAAACTGTGGTAGTCTTTAACAGATTTCTATTGATCTTATTTTATTTATTTTTATTTATAATTTATTTTATTCATTTTATTTATACCTGCACCCTGTAGTGTTGTTTGCCTGGATTCTATCAGTTTTTTACGTTTCTTACGTATGTATGACTAACAAAAGGAAACACTGTGGGGTATATAAAAGTGGCCCAGGAATATTTTTGTAGGTCCAGAGCAGAACTGGAAGGCAGCAGCTTTGCTCAAGGACTGAGGTCTAACCAAGCAGTCAGCCTAACTGAAGCTGCCTGTACTTCTGCAGCCGCCCTGTCTTTCAGAGCACAGAATTATGAGTTAAGAGGCCTCATGCTCCTTTTGTTAGTGATGAATGCATTTGACTGTAGCTTATACACATACTTATCATTCCCAAACCTGAAGCCCTCTTGTTTTCCTTACTTCAGTAAAAGGGATGCTCTGTATGTACAGTCACCCAGGCTGGGAACGCAGGCGTCATTCTAGACTCCTCCTCCTTCCCTGACCACATCTAGTTAATCCCTAAGAAATCTCTGCTACTGTGTATTAGCTCTTAATGTACTACTTTATCTTGCCCATATTTCTGGAATAGGTACCTGCACTGATCCCCCTCCCTGCATTATTAACCTCTCCAAACCAGGAAGGGCCAGCTTGATTTCTGTACAAAACTGCTTAAAATTGACTATTATCATGTTTCTCTCATTTCACATAGGATAAGCCTTAATTAGCTTGTTAGCCTGTCGTACAGAGGCCTTTGTCTTGGCCTCCTCTTCTCCCCTTCTTCACTACCGCTGCTTGCCCTTCAGTTCATTATCCCCTGTACACTGCAAATCTTTGGAATTGCATATTAATCAATATGAAACATCTCTACCCTGCAAATGCTTATACTCAGGAACTCAAATATCATGTAAGCTTCTGCTATTTCACCTAAGAATTAATTGCACCCTTCTCCTAGGGCTCATAACATTTTGTATATATGTACTTCAATAAAGACTATCATTGTAAAAAAGTTGTCTTTATTAAACATTAGTTATTTTAGTTTTGAATCTTTCCAAATAAAGTATAACACGTATCCCTCTTTCTCAAGTATTTATTTAAAGTTTATATTTTTTCAAGATCTTCAAATCTTTACAGTTAAAGACCTTAGAAGTCACTATATCAAGAAAACATACACGCTTTCTTAGTCTTTCTTAGTTTATCAGTTCTTAGTTTACTTAAATTCTGTTGTAGAATCTAAGAGCTGAACTTGAACCTGGTGGGGCACGTGTTCATATCACTGATATTTGGGTAATTCATTCAGTATCTGTAACAGTTCCCCTAAGTCTGAGGTAATTTATTTAGCTTTAGAAATACAAGGATCAAAAAGTAAAATAACTAGAAATGCTTTTTGTTACTTGCACTGAAATAACTATTACCAAGTGGTGCCATCTTACACAAAGAAAATGTCAGCTTTTTACTCTAAATCTTCATCCTTTGCATTTGAGGTAAATGATATTGTTTCACTGATGATCTAGCGATAATGCTGGAATATTGAAATTTTTCTCTCTCAATACTTTAGAAAATCAGTGCAGATTCTATTGGAGATGAAGGGTTCTTTGACTTATTAAGCCGATTTCAAAGCAATCGGATGGATGATCAGAGGTGCTGCTTACAAGAGAAGAAGAATTCTACATCAGCTGCTGTGGCAGCTTCTTCCACTTCCCCTAAAAGGATGCTAAAAAGTAAGTTATCTGTGCCTCTCCTGCAGTTTGAGTAGTTCTCTTTGATATTCTTGTAGTTCTCTTTGATATTCTTATAGTTATTTCTGAGATTTTAATTCTTATCATAGGAGGTACAGTCAAGGAGCCTGAATTGAAGTATATCTGAAATGCTGGAATTTGTACAGTTTTAAACAAGGTTTTGTTTCAGTTCCCCTGAGTTTATCTGTATTTCTATCTAGTGCGGTGCACTTTCTAATAACTATATCATACTGCCTCCTAAGTTTCCTAGGGGTTGGGGAAAAGAAAATCTAACTTAACAATAATGAGGAAAAAATTTTAGGTATACATACCTTATGATTACATGTAAAATATGAATGCTTCATATGTGGTTTCAAAAAGAAAAGCTCAGACAGACTGAAGAGGAATCTGTGGCTATGGCTGAAGCTAAAGCTCGCCTGAGCCTTAGAAAGATTAAAACAGGTTGGCTATAAAATATTTTCTATTTCAGCTACCAAAAGACTTCCTCTCCTGAAGATCAAGACTTGCCAGCAGCACATAGTTAGCTAAATTCCTAACCAGAGCATGAAACAAAAATACTGTCCCATTCATCCTGGGCTGAGAGATTATGTAAGAAAAGCTATTTACCTCCAAAATCTAGCCCCATATCTTATAAAGTTACATATTAGGTGCTATTAGATAAAGGGAAATACAGTTAAATCCGAATAACCATATGAAGTACTCTGAAATTGATTCTCCCTTCACCACCCATCTAGTCTGGCCCCAGCCTATCAGTGACCCTCAGCAACAGAGCTAAAGCAAGAGGGCAGGGAGGGTGCCGGGGCTGAACAAGGCAGAAATAAATTATATGTGTATAATATGCTTAAATGACTGGTATTTTTGGATTTTATTTCCCTCTATCCATAGCACCACCGGTTTCTGTGGTGTCCCCCAACACAGATGAGTTTTTAGACCTTCTTGCCAGCTCACAGAGCCGCCGTCTAGATGACCAGAGGGCCAGTTTCAGTAATCTGCCCGGGCTTCGTCTGACACAAAACAACAGTCAGTCAGTACTTGGCCATCTGATGACTAATGACAACAAAGAGCCTGATGAAGACTTCTTTGACATCCTTGTCAAATGTCAGGTATGTCTGCATATTTTTGCCATTCTATATATAGCTCAGATGTTGAGAACTTTTGCAGTGTTATGATTCTAACTTGGGAAAAGCTCCTTATATTAGTGAGGCAATCAGTTGATTATTTAGGGAGACATTCCCTTGTGATAGCCTCTTATTTTGAGTTCCTTTTGGCTGTGAGGTGGGGTGTCGCTGATGACTCCCTCTGAGCTATGGTAGACACCGGAAGAGAGCTGAGTAAGGCAGAGCAGTCTGCCACGTGAATATTCACTGAAAGAGCATTCCATGCAGAGTCAGCATGTTCAAGGAATGGCAGGGTGGCCAGTGTGACTGGTATAGAGTGAAGGGTAGAGGAGAGCTTATAGGATGAGGATGGAGAAGCAGTCAGAGCCTAGATCATATAGACTCTTGTAGGCCATGATGAGGTCTTGTATTCCAAATGTGATGGAAAGACATTAGAGGCTTCTGGGGGATCATCCTAACAACTGCTGAAAGAATGTGATGGCAAAAGTGTCAGAAGGAAACTAATGTGGTAATAAGGCAAAAAATATTGGTGATTTGGACTAGTGTGGTGGGCATAGTGTAAGTGGTCAGAATAGGGACATGTTTTTGAAATTATGGTCGGTTGGCAAGATCCATTAATAAACTAGATGGAGGGTATGAGAAAGAGAATTCAGGATGATTGCTACCTTTTTGGCTTGAATAACTGAGTAAATTTCAATAAATTCAGTAAATTTCAGTAAATTCAGTGCCATGTACTGAAACAGAGAAGGAGGGAAAAAAAAAAACAAAAAAACCTCCTGACAAAAGAAAAGCCCTGGACTTGGCTGGCTTCATGGGGAAATTCTACCAAATGTCTAAACACCACCAATTCCAAAAATTGAAGAGAAGGGAACACTTCCTATGTCATTCTGTGAGGCAAATACTGCCCTGATACCAAAGCCAGTCTTAACTACAGACCAATATCCTTTACAAATATAGATGCAAAAATTAACAAAATACTAGCAAACAGAATCCAGCACCATGTTAAAAGGATTATATGCCATAAAACCTAATGGGGTTTATTCCTAGAATCCAAAGATGGTTCAACATATGGAAATCAACCAATGTAATATACCACAATAACGAAATGAAGGAAAAAACAATCATCTCAATTGATGCAGAAAAATTATTTGATAAAATTCAACACATTTTCATGATAAACAAACTAGGAATAGCAGGAAACTACCATGACATAATAGAAATCATTCACCCCAGCTATCATCATATCAGTGCTCAGTATGTGCGATCATCACACTCGGTGAAAAAAGACTGAAAGGTTCTTAAGATCAGGAATAAGACATGGATGCCCACCTTGCCACTTATATTCAACACAGTACCAGAAGTTTTAGCCAGTTAGGTAAGGAAAAGAAACAGAAGGCATCCAAATTTGTAAAGAAGTAAAATTGTCTGTTTTAGAGATAATAGGGTCTTTTTCTTTGGCTGCGCCACATGGCATGAGGGATTTTAGTTCCTCCAACCAGGAACTGAAGCCATGATCCTGCAGTAAAAGCGTGCAGCCCTAACCATGGGACCACCAGGAAATTCCCTGGAGATGGTGAAATCTTTGATTTTCTACAAGAAATAAAAGTTAGAAAGTCACAAAGTTAAAAGATATAATACCAACATCCACCATCAGTTGCATTTCTATAAACTAATAATAGTCCAAAAGGGGAAATTAAAAAAACAGTTCCACTTACAGTAGACTGTAAGTAGTATCAAAGAGAATAGTTAGGAATTAACCAAGAAGGTGAAAGACTCATACAGTGAAACCTACAAAATATTTCTGATAGAAATTAAAGATGACATAAGTCTCATGTTCTTGGACTGTAAGACTTTTTTTGTTAAAAGTCAGTACTACCCAGAGTGTGATCTATAGATAAAGTGCAATCACTATCAAAATTTCAGTGACGCTCTTTTTACAGAAATAAAAAATCTATCCTAAAATGCACATGGAATCTCAAGGAAACCCAAATAGCCAAAACTATCTTGAATAGGAAGAACAACATTGGAGGACTCACATTTCCAGATTTAAAAATTTACTACAGAGCCACAGTAATCAAAACAGTGTCATACAAGCATGATGATACATAGACAGCCCAGAAGTAAACACTCATATATGGTCAAACAATTTTCAGCAAGGTTGCCAAGACCACTCAATATGGAAGGAATCTTTACAACTGATGCTGGGAAAACTGGATGTCTACATACAAAAGAAGTGATGCTGGGAAAACTGGATATCTACATACATACATACCTAATACCATATACAAAAATTAACTCATAGTGGATCAATGACCTAAGTATAAGAGCTAAAAACTATAAAACTCTTAGAATAAAACATAAGGGGAAAGCTTCATGACTTTAGATTTGGCTATGGTTTCTTAATTATAATACTAAAGGCATAGGGAATAAAAAAGAAAAAGACAAATTGGACTTCATGAAAGTTTAAAACTTCTATGCAGAGGACACTATCAACAAAGCACAAAGGCAACCCACAGAAAATATTTGCAAATCATGTAACTGATAAAGATTAATCCAGAATATAGAGAACTCCAAAAGCTCAATGACAACAAAAAACCTGATTCAAAACGGGCAAAGAACACAAATAGATATTTCTCCAGAGAAGATATACAAATGGCCAATAAGCACAGGAAAAGATGCTTGACATCACAAATCATTAGAGAAAGGAAGATCAAAACCACAATGACATACCACCTTATACCCATTAGGACAGCTATCAAAACAAACCAAAAACTGCAGAAAATAATAAATGTTGGTGTGGATATGGAGAAATTGACACCCTTGTGCGTGACAGGTAGGATTATAAAATGGTGAAGCTGCTATGGAAAACTCTATGCCAGTTCCTTAAAAAATTAAAAACAATTATCATATGATCCAGCAATCCCACTTCTGGGTATGACTGAAAACAAGGACATGACAGATATTTGTTCATAATATGATACACCCATATTCATAGCAGCATTATTCACAACAGCCAAAGTTGGAAGCAACCCAAGTGTAATGAGAACACCAGGGGAGAGGAGGTCTAGGAACTGAAGTGCCTGAGTGTTGGATGAATTAGAGGACAATGAAAGGACCAAGAACTGTGATAGGAGAGATGATGAGTGAACCAGGTATGTGTGTGCGCCAGGGTGGTGCTGACTAGGTGGCCAGTCAACCACTGCATCCTCATGGGACCATGCGGCTCAATGTTTAGGCACATCACTACGCAGCGCCCAGCAACACAGGGGGCACTCAGATGTCAGCTATCACATTCCTACTCTTCCCTTGGGCTACAATACCAGATGCTATCCTGTAAACTTTTAAAGTGCTTTTATTTTTTATTTGATCAAAAACATTTCTAACATGCTTCTAAGAACCATAAGCTAGAACTTAAAGATTTAAATGCTTAAGACCAAGGCAAACTTTTTCTGTAAATGGCCATAGAGAAACTATTTTAGGCTTTTTGAGCCCTTTGGCCTTTGTTGCAACTGCTCAACTCTGCCACTGTAGCAGGCAAACAGCCACACACAGTTCAAAACAAACGAGCACGGTGCTGAAGTGAAAGTACTGTTACGAAAACAATGGGCAGTAGAGTTATAGTTTGCTGACCCTTGGCCAAAGACAATGTTATAAGGAAGTGATGCGGAGTTTCTGTACCTCACGTTACATTCCTAAAGATCTGGTAAGTTTTATTTGGTGATGCCTATTATGGTAAGATTATAATCTTGAACTGTCATTGTGGACACAGGTGACCTTGTGTCTTAACTACTCTTACCAAAGCCATGAAGCTGTGGCTATACTTCTGCATACATAACATAACCAGCATATTCTGTTTATATAAGTCATTTCAAAGAAAAGATCTTAACTAGTTTTCAGATCTAAAGATTGAGTAAACTTCTAAGCAGTTCTAAGAGGCAGTAAACATTTAAAGCTACATATTTTACTGTGAATGGTAGACGTAACATACCTTGGTGCTCTCCTGATTTGTCTTTTAATCTCTTACTACTTGTGAATTTCTAGGGATCCAGATTAGATGATCAGAGATGTGCTCCACCACCTGCTGCCACAAAGGGACCAACAGTACCAGATGAGGACTTTCTTAGCCTTATTTTACGGTCTCAAGCGAAAAGAATGGATGAACAGAGAGCTCTTTTACAAAGAGATCAAAACAGAGACACTGAATTTGGGCTCAAGGACCTTTTGCAGAGTAAACCTGTGTTGGAACTTGAAAATTCTGGGAAAAAATAAGCAAACCACTAGTATACTGTTGAATTTTCTTTTTTTTTTTTAACGACCTTATTTCCTTTCAGAACACTGCAGGGAAATTCAATCTAGTACTTTTCTCCTCAAAAGGAGAAGGTATAGCACTGTATTACAGCTTAAAATGTTTTCAGCATGATGTAAATATTTGACCTTTAATAGTATAGTGTTTACACTCCTCTGGACACTCACTCGTTTCTGAGTGGAAGTGTCTTGAAAGGTGCTTCATCAACTTTTGTGATTACTGCTTGGGATTATGTTCTTTGGCAACTTGTTAAGATTCCTTTACCTACTATTTGTAAAGTAGGAAGTTAAAATGAATCTAGACTAGGAGTTACTCCTCTTGTTGAGGTAATTTTTTTACTCTTAATTGATAATGGCAATTTTTTATACCTAACCATGGATGTAGTGAGAAATTACGCTGTTTCATAAAAATAATATACTTGACCAATGTGTAAAAAAATTATACCGTCTGTTAAAGAATCTAGAGTTTTTTTCCACTAAGAAAATCTCTATTTTCAATATATTTTTAGGCCAAAGCTATCATAAAAGAACATAAAAGAATTTAAGAATAAACTTCTTTTAGTGTGGTTTGGCCTCTGTGTAATTTTTAAAATAATTTATGTGTATACATATACATATATAAGTACAGGTATGTATATATGTGCACTTGTGTGTGTGGGGGTGTGTGTGTGTATGTAATGGTTTAAAATTGTATGTTCTGTTGCAAAATAGTACTGTAAAGTTTTTTAGGAGCCAATGTTCAAAAAATCCCCAAAACCCTTAAGTGACTATGTCAAAAACCTAGGCCACAAAAAAAAAAAAAAAACCTAGGCCATAAGTATGAAAGATGTAGGGTAAGCCCTCAGCTGTCATTAATGACAAGAGAAGTTTCTTCCTCCTCTTTCCAGAAACTGAAGGTGTTTTACAAGGGGACATAATGTGACATAAGTAAGTTTAGCAAAAGCAAGTCAACAAGGACGGGACTGAGCTGGGTCTGCACTAAGGCTGAATTGCATAATACAAATGCCCACACCTGGAACAAGCTGGCAACTCATTCACTTCTGGTTGCTTCTGATTCTGCAAAGCTGCGATGGGATCTAGGCCCCTGTTCATCCTAAAAATCTTTCAGGTGATTTTGATAGGCAATGAGAACCACTTCTCCAAATGGCCAATGTTTTAAAAAATGAGAAGATAGTTACACAATCTGGACTCACATTAAGAGCTCAGGGGGAAAAAAAAGATTATTCTTGGTTCTGAAATCACACAAACTGTCAAAAGTACTCAGTTAACACTCAGATTATATTATGTGTTATATATTATATATAGGGTATAATGTCCTGGAATAGCACCCATTTAAAACCAAAACCTGCACTTAAATTTCTTGGGGCTTTTTCTTACAAGCACATTTATTGAGCAAAGACAGCATACCAAAACACAATAATGTAAAAATAAGTGTTTATTTTGTGTAGATGGTAGCTCTTAGACCCCGTAAACATATGCCTCAGTCTGATATTCCTAAAAGCTTGTTACTATAATCCTTGACTTTAATGATAAATGTTGGCTAAACAATAAACAAGCCTCCTAGACTTTAATGATAAATGTTGGCTAAACAATAAACAAGCCTATTTCTTTTAGCTATAAACTGACCTTGAATATTCAATTGGCTTTAATAAGTCTTCCCTGAACTCTGCTGTTATCTTTCAACAGCAGTACTGTTGCCTTGCTAGCTGTCAAAGTAGAGTTCATCCCCAAATGGTTATCTGTAATGAAAGAATACAAAGATGAACTTTTACTTAAATTTTCTTTTAAAGATTCATTTTTGGATTGATAAGCAGCAGTAAGAAGTGCAAAATAACATTAACTCTACCCTCACAGTTACAGTCTAGCAACTGAGGCATCCATTTCACCACTCAGAGGATAACTAGCACCTTGGGAGCACATTCACCAATAGAGTAAACAAACCTGGCCCCCAGACGACTACCTTATATGCATCGATGTTCACAAGTCTATCCCAAAATGCAGACATCCTTACATGCCTGTGTTATAAAGTTTTATATGATTTATGCAATAAATCATATTGCATTTATTGGAAAAAATTACCTTTCTGATAAAATAAATACTAATGATGTTTTGCAGTATTAAGCCAGAAAATAATATTAACACATAAAATTAATTACAGGCATCAAAGTGATGCTTCTGGGAGCCAAGAAGGGGTATTCTGCATTTCATGTAAAAAAACATCGAAAAGCAAATGCTTTAAATCTTTTCTGAAAGAAATGCCTGCATAAAAAAAAATTTTTTTTTTTTGCATGAAAATTTTAAAACTACTTGTGGTGTCATTTTTAGTAAGCAGCTGACTGGAACTTGTAGTGTGAAGGTTAAAACAAAGAATACCCAGATGTGTGTAACTGTGGCCTCCTAGCTAGCTTTTGTGCAAAATTTATAAATTGCTTATTTTTTTTTTTAAGTTTAAAATGAAGAATAGTTTGAAAATCAGAATAACTGAAGTATGGGTTATATCACATGTCTAGGGTTTAAAATCCACTTGTCTTTTATCATGGTATTTATCCTTCTCTTTGTATAGATCTCTAAAATTTAGAACTTCATATGGCTTGGACAACATGGTTTACTCTATAATGTAAGATACAGTAATATCTAATAACCTCAAATCTGGGATTCTGAATAGCAAGGAAAACAGGCCTTATAAAGCCTGTGCACTTATTTGCTGGGGAAATAAAGCCATTCTCAAAGTATGTAAAACTGGGATTAGCAGTTTAACAAGCTATGCAATCTAAATTCCCCTGACAATCTTCAGTTCTGTCCTAGCTAAGGATAAAGTCAAAGGGGTGATAAAAAAGCAGGCCCAGTAACAGTTGTAAGAGTTGAAAACGCAGGCTGGCCTGTGGGCAGCCTACAGTGGGTTAGACTGACACTGGTGACACAGACTCCACGGCTGCACTAAAATGCTAAAGTGCATGACGTGGGTAAACAGGACTACAGTGACTTTCCTTAAATGTTGTTTTTGAGTACCTACCATTTTTAGAAACATTCTGGGTCCGATGCACAACTAACAAATAATTCTATTAACTAAAGTAGGTATCACAGGACTTCCAAAAGGCAAAACACACTTTGGTGAGTTGGTTCCTATATCTGCCTATAAACAACAACTTCTTTTTCAGTGTCCCCTACCTCACATGATCTTTTTCATGATTCAAAATCATTAATACGTGCCATATGTTCATCTATGAGATCCTGTTCCAAAATTAACACTTCAAAAACTATGAGATGCATATTAATATCAAAGAAATGAAATTGAACAGAGAATACATGCACACTTGTTAATTCTGATTGTCAGTAAAAATACTGATGTTTAAAGTTGGCACCTATGTAGTAAATATCAGAATATTTGCAGAAGAAACAGCTGTGAAGAGATTACTTTACAGAACTTGAAGACGACCTCAGAACTGTGGCCCATGTCTGTGTTCCTCTAGCCACACACTTCCACTGTAGTGCTTGCTGGGCCGGATGTGCTGCCTTCCTCTGGGCCACCTGCGGCATCAGTCCTAAGCTGGGCCTTCTCCACTGCAGGGAAACCTTCTACACCCTCTGAGACGTTCTGGCCAGAGACGGGCTTAGCAGACTGGCTGCTTTCAGTACTGCTTTCTCTCGGAGTGCTTTCTCCTGGGATTTCACCCATCTCTTTGGGCTTTGATTCCAAATCAGATGATTTAAGCTACAAAGTAGAAAATCACAGTGTTGTAGTTGTTCAATTAACATAACATGAAGGTTTGTAATATACATGTTCAACAAGTTCTCACAAATCTGTTATAGCAAACATTGAATTCTTTCAAGTCCTCATCCTAAGCTTTACAGGACTGTCCATGGACACAGAAGACAGACTTGTGGACACAATGGGGGAACGAGAAGGGGGGACGAGCTGCGAGAGTAGCACTGAAACACACGCCGCCACGTGTGAGACGGACATGGGAAGCTGCTGTGTAACACGGGGAGCTCAGCCTGCTGCTCTGTGATGACCTAGCAGGATGGGGTGGTGTGGGGGGAGGGTCAGCAGGGAGGGGGTGTATATACACTTATGGTGATTTACCTCGTTTTAACAGCAGAAGCCAACAACTTTGTAATTATCCTCCAATTAAAAATAAACATTAAAAAAAAGAACTGTCTGTGGAGGAGTGGGACACTCAGGGTATGCTAGGTGGTCTAGTGACCCAGCTTAGGAAGGGTCAGGAAGACTGGTGACCAGTACTGTTAACTCCTCTTGCCTGGGGAGAATAGTTCATTTGACAAACGTTCAGGGAGCATACCTTAAGTTCTAGGTCCTAGGGATACAAAAGAGCAAGCAGACAAACTCCCGCCCCCTTCCTTAAACTTACTGGGCAATAAAGTATCATGCTGGGGGTGGGAAGGCTGAATTGCTGTCTAAATTAGCGTGGTCTGAAAAGATGATGAGTAAAGGCTTGAGGAAATGAACCTTACGAATATATGGGAACAGCATTCTAGACAATGAATAGCAAGTACAAAGGCTGAGCTCAAGGAGTAGACAGGAGGCCCTTGTGACTGAAGCAGAATGAGCTTGGAGGGAGCCTGGGAGGAGAGAGCGGTGGGAGGCCCTAGGCCATTTTGATATCTTTGACTTTCCCTTCAAGTGACCTGGGAACTGGAGGATTTCTGAGACTAAGTGACAGATAACCAGTGGCTCAGATGGTAAAGAATTTGCCTGCAGTGCAGGAGACCTGGGTTCGATCTCTGGGTCGGGAAGATCCCCTGGAGAAGGTAATGGCAATCCACTCCAGTATTCTTGCCTGGAGAATTCTATGGACAGAGGAGCCTGGTGGGCTACAGCCCATGGGGTTGCAAAGAGTCGGACACGACTGACCAACACTTTTACGTGCACTTTACTAAAGCTGAAAGAAACATCTTAATTTTCTAGACCAATGCAGATATGTTTTATCCTTCTCAGGAGCTCCAAGGGAAGGATTCTACAAGTTCCTATATTCTACTGTGTTCGTTACAGTTTCCCAAAGGTTTACATCTGCAACATAAACTTTGCAAATGACAATACAAACTCTTCTCTCAAACAGAAATAGAAGTGTCCCTTTAAATGGCCAATAATGGTGGAAAAGAGGCCTGACCATTCCCCAGATAAAAAAGTTAGTCTAGCCAGCCACAAGATTTGGGAAAGCAAGGTTTTTGATCCTTCCCCAGCTCACTCTCCCATCTAGCTAAGGTTTCAGGGCTCTCCTGTGGGCCAGCTCCCTAAGGCTCCAGCCTCAGGGGGCAGTTCTCTCTGATCTCTTCAAAGGTAGAAATTTCAGTCATAGTCACTTGTTGGTTTCCTATAAAACATCACACGAATTGCTATCTGTTCTAACAAATGACCGCTAACTAGTATTTAACGTAAAAGTTAAATCTCATTTCTTCTGAGACTGGACTAACTTGACCAGAAAGGGGGAAACAGTGAATAGTTACATCACTGGTGACATAATTAACTAGGAAAGGTAAGAGTAGAACACTTAACCGAAAGCTTAGTAGGAAGTACTTAAGCCTAGTATTAAGAGACAGCAAAATAA